ACACTGCAATTTCCATCCTTGTGTCTTTCTGTGTCCTGGACACCTGCTGCTGACATTTAGCTAGCATCTCTGTGGAGGGTTGGCCCAACACACAGAGGATACATCCCAAATGGCACCCTATTTCCCATACTATAGTGTACTACTTTTGACCAGAGTCCTATAGGCGCTGGTCAAAATAGTGCACTATATAGGGAATAGGGTGCCTTTGGGACTCACCCAGAGAAACACTGCCTCTCTCTACACAGTGTTTTATGGCTGCTCACACAGAGAAGAGGGCCATGCAACCCACAGAAACATAATTACACCCCTTGTGCCTCGTTATTAAACAGGCTTTCCTTGGGTAACATCCGTCCATCCGCTCTCTTCTCTTCTCTTCTCTTCTCTTCTCTTCTCTTCTCTTCTCTTCTCTTCTCTTCTCTTCTCTTCTCTTCTCTTCTCTTCTCTTCTCTTCTCTTCTCTTCTCTTCTCTTCTCTTCTCTTCTCTTCTCTTCTCTTCTCTTCTGTTCTTGTCTCTTCTCATTTCTTTTACATCCCAGCTGTCATCTGCGTTTGGCATTTCATCATGGTGTTTGTCTTAGTTGGATTCCTCATTCCATTAGCTTGATCCTATGGAGCCTGCTGAATTGAATTATGCTGAGAAAAAAAATAAAAAAAGCTTGTTTCCCAATTGGTCTCAATTATAGGGACTGAACTGATGGAAACCTTTTGCAGAAGTTGTTAGATTCCACCATTAGGACTATATCTGGAATAAAAAGGTATTTTTTTGTCATGTCAACATCTTTAGGGCTTTTTGAAGAACATTTTATCGCTGATATCGCAGAGATATGATATTGCAGCACCAGCTGCAGTGCATTAGCTACTGTAGGTGAATAACTAAAACCTAGAACACTCAGCCAAGATGCTCTCATGTATTAGCATGGCCCTCAGTGAGAGACAGAATGGAAGAGAATCCATGTTTTGTGATGTGAGCAGGCTTGGATGCCATTAAAATACCTGCATTCAAATGATTAGAATAGAGTCCCTGAGCCAGTGAGTGGGGCCCCATGGGCCCTTGTGTCTGTGCCTGTATGAGCCATTACTCTGACAGCCTTTCTACACACTTGTCTAGCACAGAGCTAAATGGGTTAAGCATGAACGGTATCCAGGGGACCGGGCAGGTGCAGTTACCATTCCACTCAACACAAACTAGACATTCACACTTACTCACATACTTTATTTTTCTCTTTCTTATCAATGTGCGTTCTGCCCTCTTCTAGCTCTCCTTTTTTGTTACTTCTATCTCTGTTCATATCATCCCTCTCTCTTTCTATCTCTCTCTTTCTCTCTCTCTCCTTCCCCTGTTCCATTCCAAATTGCCCACATGAGTCTGCCATGGAAAAGAGGCATTGCTGAATCTTATTTGTCTTGTTACAGACTAGGGGAGCTAGTACCTCAACTCCCTCTGAAGCAGGAGAGGATAACAGCTCTCACCTACCATATCCGCATCACCATGGTAACAGCTCTCAGGTAGATCTGATCTGATCACTGTGACAGGACTTAGCAGAATATCAGAGCACCTTTCACCTGTGTGATATAAAGTGTATTCAGAGCACAGAGTTAAAGTTGAGCAGTAGGTGTTCACGTCTTTGGAATGTCAGATCTAAGTGTCCACCTTACAGGACCTGCTTGTCACGCCCTGGCTCTGGGGACACTGTTATGTTGAGCCAGGGTGTGTAGATTTCTGTGTTGTAGGTCTAGTTGTTTCTTTTCTATGTTGCCAGTGTGGTTCTCAATCAGAGGCAACGAGTGTCAGCTGTGGCTGGTTGTCTCTGATTGGGAACCACATTTAAACAGGCTGTTTTCCCACAATAGTTGTGGGATCTTGTTCCGTGTTGGTCTATGTTACCTAGGACGTTACGAGTCGTTTGTTGTTTTTGTTTACTGTCTGTGTTTATCGCTAATGATAAATAAACATGTTCGTTCATCACGCTGCGCCTTGGTCTACTTCCTACGACGATCGTGACAGAAGATCCCACCAAGACTGGACCAAGCAGCAAGTCCAGGAGCCATCGCCTGGGAGATCTCTAGCGGATCTCCTTCGCCTCCTCGACTGGGTCAAGCCATGTGAGGAAGAGAGGGGCTTGACGTGGAAGCAGAAGGGCGAAAGGCTGGCAAAAACTATGGAGACCTGGTCCACGGGTAGGAGTGAAGCCCATAAAATCTTTAGGGGGTGGGCTAACGCCGTGGACGACGGGCCAGCAGGAGACCGCGACAGAGCGGCCCAGCGGGTTGGCAGAGGAGGCCGCCAGGTTACGGGGGCCACTGGTCGAAGAGGGGATGGAAGGTGTAGAGGCACGGCGAAGGGTACTGGGGTGTGTTACCAGTCCGGTCCGGCCCGTTCCAGATCCCTGCGTAGGGCCAGTGGTGTGTGTCCCCAGTACGGTCCGGCCTGTTCCTGCTCCCCGCACCAGGCCAATGGTGCGAGTCTCCAGCCCGGTCCGGCCCGCTCCTGTTCCCCACACCAAGCCAGTGGTGCGCATCGCCAGCCCGGTCCAGCCCGCTCCTGTTCCCCACACCAAGCCAGTGGTGCGCATCGCCAGCCCGCTCCTGCCCCCCACACCAAGCCAGTGGTGTGCGTCGTCAGCCCGGCACGGCCCGTGCCTGTTCCCCACACCAAGCCAGTGGTGTGCGTCGTCAGCCCGGCACGGCCCGTGCCTGTTCCCCACACCAAGCCAGTGGTGCGCATCGCCAGCCCGGTCCGGCCCGCTCCTGCTCCCCATACCAAGCCAGTGGTGTGCGTCGTCAGCCCGGCACGGCCCGTGCCTGTTCCCCACACCAAGCCAGTGGTGTGCGTCGTCAGTCCGGCACGTCCCGTGCCTGTTCCACCGGTGCCTGGTCCGGCACCGGTCAGATGCTTCACGCCGGAGCTAGAGCAATCCGTTCCACCAATGTGCAGTCCAGCTCCGGCCAGCGGGGACAGACCGGACCAGGGGTACTTTGGGGGGTTGGCGAGGGAGCGGGGATCAGGCCCGGAGCCGGATCCACCGCCTAGGCGGAGTGCCCACCCGGTCCCTCCCCTGTGGTATTTGGTTGGCGCGGTCGGAGTCCGCGCCTTTAGGGGGGGGTACTGTCACGCCCTGGCTCTGGGGACACTGTTATGTTGAGCCAGGGTGTGTAGATTTCTGTGTTGTAGGTCTAGTTGTTTATTTTCTATGTTGCCAGTGTGGTTCTCAATCAGAGGCAACGAGTGTCAGCTGTGGCTGGTTGTCTCTGATTGGGAGCCATATTTAAACTGTCTGTTTTTCCCTTTGTGTTTGTGGGTTCTTGTTCCGTGTTGGTCTATGTTACCTAGGACGTTACGAGTCGTTTGTTGTGTTTTGTTTACTGTCCATGTTTATCGCTAATGATAAATAAACATGTTCGTTCATCACGCTGCGCCTTGGTCTACTTCCTACGACGATCGTGACACTGCTGCTCTTTCCCTGAGCGTAGATGTGTTCATACACTGTCCTGTGGTTGCTGTATAGAGACAGACAGACTGGTTTGACTTTAGTTTCATAAGGCTTCCATTTTAAGAACATACAGTATTCGCACAGAGGCAAACCATTTGGACAATGCGAATGTAAGGCTTTATTTGTGCATCTTCAAATGTCAGTATTATTAAGATCCCTGTGAAATATCACCATCACTTTAAAACCATTGAGAAATTACAACACTTATACAAAATGTGTGGAACGACTCACTGTGGAACATCACTGCACCATCAGCAGAGCACAGCCACCACCAATCAAACAAACTGCATAAATTTGAGAATCAGATGAGGTATAATTAGAGTATATATAACAGGCGGTTCACAAACGTATATCCCCACCACAGTTTTAAATTCAACAGCACAAACCTACTGAAGCATGAAACAATTTGTAATATAAATAATTTTACAGACACTAGGGTTAAGTACCTTGCTCAAGGGCACATCAGCAGATTTTTCACGTAGTTGGCTCAGGGATTTAAACCAGCAACCTTTCGGTTACTGGCCCATTGTTCTTAACCGCTAAGCTACCTGCCACCCAATCATTGAACCTCAAGTGTAATACAGGTAACACCTGTGCGCCGATGCACCAAGTTATGGACTAAACACACCAAGAAAACCACTACCATGAGACAGCCACAACAAGTCATGCAAAGAAAAACGAATTACAATACTGTACATGAATGTGAGCGAAGCCAAACCTCTCACATTCACACTATTCACACAGTCTTCTCTCACTCTATTTACATTTCCGATACATTTTCCAAACCACTCCGATGTCCTCTTAAAAACTCACTTGCTAAATCCTTCCTTTCCCTTTACTGTGTCTTCTTTTCATTTTCCTCTCTTACGGTCCACCCCCTTAGATATTACAGCTTCGTCCACGTGCCCTTGCAAACTTCATATCTGGAAATCTACATGGGAGTGGTGACCTATACCTTATGGGCAAATGTAATCAGCTACATGTAATCTGATCACCAAGAAATAATCCGTTATGTTACCAGCAAAAATATTGTAATCAGGTTACAGATACTTTTGAAAAAGTAGATGATGAATTTTTGGATTAGGCTACTTTTAAATTCAGAAAGGATGTTTGAGGAGAAAATACATTATGACACCTTTCTGTTTCTAAATGACATTAAATTAAGTTTGTTCCATCTGAGCGAGTCTGACCACAAGTCAGAGACCACTATGATGACACACCAAATGCGTTTTATGGATCCTTTTCGTCTTCTGCAAATGCCTCTTAATGCGAGAGTAATCCAAAAGTAACTGAAAGTAATCCGATTACGTTACTGAGTTGGGGTAATCCAAAAATTATGTTTCTGATTACAATTTTAAGACAGGTAACTAGTAACTGTAATGGATTACATTTAGAAAGTAACCTACCCAACCCTGCTTATGGTCAGGTATCAATATACAAAAGTATTTTCAGATCTAGTTACGTTTGTGAGGGTAAGTAGATGAGGGGAAAATATACATAAAATGTGATCTAAGTATCATTGACAAACATGATAGGATTAATCCCTTTAGAGGTGACATCCCCCTGACTGATGATGATTGGCTGTCCTAGACTGGTCTGTGGCAAGCGGAAGCTCCCTATTGATTGGTTGAAGCTACCTTGGCTGTAGTGCTGCTGGCCCAAGCTCTCCCGTGATTGATCAAAACTAGTCTGCCTGTATGGATGTTGATAGAAGCTGTCCCCTGATTGGTCGAAACTGCTTTGGCTGCAGAGCCGTTGGCTCATCCCATTGGCCCGTCTCCCAGAGGCGCTTCTCATTGGGTACCTCTGGCCAGTCTTGTACCAGCCTGTCTCTTTGAAGACAAACCAGATGTTGCCGGCCCACAGGATAAAGTTTAAAAAACCAAAAACCTGTATAGAGGTACAGAAAGAGGGTATTTAGAGTGCATGTTGACGTTTCTTGTCCTGGAGGCAAAACTGAGAGCGATTTCCCCTTAGATAGGCCAGCTGCAAAGTCAAAATTGTCTATATTGTAAAAATACATGAAAGCAAAAATGAGCTTTTTGGTCTTAATTTAAGGTTAGGGTTGGGCATTAGAGTTAGCAGTGTGGTTAAAATTAGGGTTGGGCATTAGGGTTAGCAGTGTGGTTAAGATTAGGGTTGGGCATTAGGGTTAGCAGTGTGGTTAAGATTAGGGTTGGGCATTAGGGTTAGCAGTGTAGTTAAGATTAGGGTTGGGCATTAGGGTTAGCAGTGTGGTTAAGGTTAGGGTTGGGCATTAGGGTTAGCAGTGTGGTTAATATTAGGGTTGGGCATTAGGGTTAGCAGTGTGGTTAAGATTAGGGTTGGGCATTAGGGTTAGCAGTGTGGTTAGGGTTGGACATTAGGGTTAGCAGTGTGGTTAAGATTAGGGTTGGGCATCAGGGTTAGCAGTGTGGTTAAGATTAGGGTTGGGCATTAGGGTTAGCAGTGTGGTTAAGGTTAGGGTTGGGCATTAGGGTTAGCAGTGTGGTTAAGATTAGGGTTGGGCATTAGGGTTAGCAGTGTGGTTAAGATTAGGGTTGGGCATCAGGGTTAGCAGTGTGGTTAAGATTAGGGTTGGGCATTAGGGTCATCAGTGTGGTTAAGATTAGGGTTGGGCATTAGGGTTAGCAGTGTGGTTAAGATTAGGGTTGGGCATTAGGGTCAGCAGTGTTGTTAAAGATTAGGGTTGGGCATTAGGATTTGCAGTGTGGTTAAGATTAGGGTTGGGCATTAGGGTTAGCAGTGTGGTTAAGATAAGGGTTGGGCATTAGGGTTAGCAGTGTGGTTACGGTTAGGGTTGGGCATTAGGGTTAGGTTGAAAGTCAGATTTGATTACTTTGTGGCTGTGCCAGCTAGTGACAACTCTGAAGAGTTGCCTCCAGAACAAGATTTATGACGAAAAATGCTAACCTGCATTTAGAGTTTGGGTCTAAACATCAAACTGTCAGATTCAGAATCAGAAAATGTTATTGACGTAAAACAAATGGTTGCTAAGAATTTTTGTTGCTGTGCATACATTATTTAAAACATCATCATCAACAATCGGTTGAAGGACGAGCATCGCGTAGGAGTAAACACCACCTGTCTGAAGACAATGGAGCTGACATTGATCAGCATTGGTATTTCATGCATAAGGAATGTGTCCCAAATTACCCTATTCCCTATATAGTGCACTACTTTTGACTAGGGCCCATAGTTGTCTGGTCAAAAGCAATGCACTATATGGAGATAGGGTGCCATTATGGACATCACCAATGACTCACCACAGACGTGTTGAGCTCAGACCAGACTGGGTGGTGGGAAGCTGAACACTGGTTGGCCGGGTGTCTGCAGGCAGAGATGAGCAGGAGGACCTGGGTGGGATCAGTGGCTGACTTTACATCAGACAGAGCTTTGGCCCAAGTACAGGAACTCACCAACCACATGAAGGCGAAGAGCACGGTCACTACAAAGTCCTGGTTAGCAGGGAGAAATGGAGAAGGTTATTATCAGGTTCAATGCGATCGTGAGAGTTGAGGTGTGAAAAAGAGGATGGGGTGATGTTATAAACGAGGTCTAAAGGAATATGGAAGAAAAGAGCAGGAGTAACAACAAAGTACAGCTAACTGCTATTTATAAAATGCCACAATATACCACATCTTTCAGAGGTAATAATCTTGTGAATCACATTTCTCTATATGTTAAGCTACCACTGTCCTGTAAATTATTTAATTCAATGTATCTCAATTAATAGACACATACATTATACAAATACCATGACATTAATGAACCAAAGGCAGCTCTTGATAAGTAAAACAACTCACCACCAGCGGTCCTCTATTACCCTCGCGGTACTTGTTCTGGTAGTAGATGTACACTACGGTGGCCATCAGTGAATAGAGGAAGGCAAAGACAGCCACGGTCACAAAAAACTGAGCTGAGGAGGAGTAGTCTCCTACCAGGAAGATGGTCTCCTGTCTGTTCCTCTCACACAGCGTGGGCTGGAAATGGACCTGCTGTAACCTATAAGATGTCAGGAACAAGGACATGGTCACAGTTAAAGCCTTTTATTGACAAGTGTGAGGCTCTGATCACAGTGCAGGTGAGTGAGAATGAGGTTGAGAATGTCATGACCATCATCCTGCAAGTCATTGTCAGATGTCATGCTGTAGCTATGTCGTCAGTAAAATGTCTATCATCAAAGCTCAATGTGTTAGAATCCTAATCACCTGTTACAGTAGTTTTCATTTATTTTATTTAACCTTTAATTTTACAGGTTAGTCATTGAGATCAAATTTCGTTTGCAAGAGAGACCTGTAGTTAAGCCATCTTGCCTATAAAATAACATAGTCCTGCATTATGGCAGGAAATGTCCAGGTAAAAGTAGAGTATGAGCAGAGTGTTTGAACACACAATGATTTGCAGAAGGTAGAGATAGACCCTGCTGATCCTTGCTTCAGGCAAGAAAAAAAAAAAAGATCTCTTTTAAAGAACAAAAGTCTGTCTTGGTGAGGAACCCTTCCATTACCAATGGACTCTGACAGGCTTTAAAAATAGCGATTGTTAAACTGAGTGAAACAAGTTCCTCCCACTGATCTGAGTGAACCTGCGATCTTCAGAGAGACAGAGAGAGAGAGAAGAGAGAGGAAGGAGAGAGAGAGAGAAGGGGGAGAGAGAGAGAGCGACAGAGAGATAAGAGAGAGAGAGCGAGAGAGAGATTAAAGAGAGGTAAAGGTATACAGTGCCTTCGGAAAGTATTCAGACCCCTTGACTTTTTCCACATTTTGTTAGATTACAGCCTTATTCTAAAATTGATTAAATATATATTTTTTCTCAGCAATCTACACACAATACCCCATAATGTCAAAGCGAAAACAGGTTTTTAGAATATTTTGCAAATGTATTAAAAATAAAAAACAGAAATACCTTATTTACATACAGTTGAAGTCAGAAGTTTACATACACTTAGGTTGGAGTCATTAAAACTCATTTTTCAACCATTCCACACATTTCTTGTTTTGGCAAGTCGGTTAGGACATCTACTTTGTGCATGACAATTTGTAGACCTCCACAAGGCTGGTTCATCCTTGGGAGCAATTTCCAAAAGCCTGAAGGTACCACGTTCATCTGTACAAACAATAGTACGCAAGTATAAACACCATGGGACCATGCAGCCGTCATACCGCTCAGGAAGGAGACGCGTTCTGTCTCCTAGAGATGAACGTACTTTGGTGCGAAAAGTGCAAATCAATCCCAGAACAACAGCAAAGGACCTTGTGAAGATGCTGGAGGAACAGGTACAAAAGTATCTATATCCACAGTAAAATGAGTCCTATATTGACATAACCTGAAAGGCTGCTCAGCAAGGAAGAAGCCACTGCTCCAAAACCACCATATAAAAGCCAGACTACGGTTTGCAACTGCATATGGGGACAAAGATCGTACTTTTTGGAGAAATGTCCTCTTGTCTGATGAAACAAAAATAGAACTGTTTGGCCATAATGACCATCATTATGTTTGGAGGAAAAAGGGGGTGCTTGCAAGCTGAAGAACCTCATCCCAACTGTGAAGCACGGGGGTGGCAGCATCATGCTGTGTGGGTGCTTTGCTGCAGGAAGGACTGGTGCACTTCCCAAAATAGATGGCATCATGAGGAAGGAAAATTATGTGGATATATTGAAGCAACATCTCAAGACATCAGTCAGGAAGTTAAAGCTTGGTCGCAAATGGGTCTTCCAAATGGACAGTGACCCCAAGCATACTTCCAAAGTTGTAGCAAAATGGCTTAAGGACAACAAAGTCAAGTTATTGGAGTGGCCATCGCAAAGCCATGATCTCAATCCTATAGAAAATGTGTGGGTAGAACTGAAAAAGTGTGTCCGAGCAAGGAGGCCTACAAACCTGACTCAGTTACACCAGCTCTGTCAGGAGGAATGGGCCAAAATTCACCCAACTTATTGTGGGAAGCTTGTGGAAGACTACCCGAAACATTTGACCCAAGTTAAACAATTTAAAGGCAATGCTACCAAATACTATTTGAGTGCCCACTTCTGACCCACTTGGAATGTAATGAAATAAATAGAAGCTGAAATAAATCATTCTCTCTACTATTATTCTGACATTTCACATTCTTAAAATAAAGTGGTGATCCTAACTGACCTAAGAAAGGGAATTTTTACCTGGATTAAATGTCAGGAATTGTGAAAAACTGAGTTTAAATGTATTTGGCTAAGGTGTATGTAAACTTCCGACTTCAACTGTAAGTATTCAGACACTTTGCTATGAGACTCAAAATAGAGCTTAGGTGCATCCTGTTTCCATTGATCATCCTTGAGATGTTTCTACAACTTCACTGGAGTCCACCTGTGGTAAATTAAATTGATTGGACATGATTTGGAAAGGCACACACCTGGGTATATAATGTCCCACAGTTGACAACGCATGTCAGAGCAAACACCAAGCCATGAGGTCGATGGAATTGTCCGTTGAGCTCCGAGACAAGATTGTGTCGAGGCACAGATCTGGGGAAGGGTACCAGAAAGATTCTGCAGCATTGAAGGTCTCAAAGAACACATTGGCCTCCATCATTCTTAAATGGAAGAAGTTTGGAACCACCAAGACTCTTTCTAGAGCTGGCCACCCGGCCAAACTGAGCAATCGGGGGAGAAGGTTCTTGGTCAGGGAGGTGACCAAGAACCCGATGGTCACTCTGACAGAGCTCCAGACTTCCTCTTTGGAGATGGGAGAACCTTCCAGATGGACAACCATCTCTGCAGCACTCCACCAATCAGGCCTTTATGGTAGAGTGGCCAGACGGAAGCCACTCCTTAGTAAAAAGCACATGACAGCCTGCTTGGAGTTTGCCAAAAGGCACCTAGAGACTCTCAGACCATGAGAAACAAGATTCTCTGGTCTGATGAAACCAATATTGAACTTGAATGCCAAGCGTCATGTCTGGAGGAAACCTGGCACCATCCCTATGGTGAAGCATTGTGGTAGCAGCATCGTGCTGTGGGGGAGAATAGTCAGGAGAATAGTCAGGATCGAGGCAAAGATGAACAGAGCAAAGTACAGAGAGATCCTTGATGAAAACCTGCTCCAAAGTGCTCAGGACCTCAGACTGGGGCGAAGGTTCACCTTCCAACAGGACAACAACCCTAAGCACACTGCCAAGACAACGCAGGAGTGTCTTAGGGACAAGTCTCTGAATGTCCTTGAGTGGCCCAGCCAGTGCCCGGACTTGAACCCGATCAAACATCTCTGGAGAGACCTGAAAATAGCTGTGCAGCAACGCTCCCCATCCAACCTGACAGAGCTTGAGAGGATGTGCAGAGAGGAATGGGAGAAACTCCTCAAATACAGGTGTGCCAAGCTTGTAGCGTCATACCCAAGAAGATGTTAGGCTGTAATCACTGCTAAAGGTGCTTCAACAAAGTACTGAGTAAAGGATCTGAATACTTATATAAATGTCATATTTCCGTTTTTTTTATATACATTTGCATAATACATTAAATACCTGTTTTTGCTTTGTCATTATGGGGTGTTGTGTGTAGATTGATGCGGGGGGACAATTTAATCAATTTTAGAATAAGACTGTAATGTAATAAAATGTGGAAGAAGTCAAGGGGTCTGAATACTTTCCGAATGCACTGTATGTATTCCTCAGAATCACTGTATGATGCTCATGAGTCTCAATTATGAATCTCTCCCCTGATCATCAGGAGTCTTTCCACATTACTCTTAACCTGAGCTGAAATGTTTAAGGTCTTCAAGGGAGCAGGTAGATACACGTGAGATACTGAACGTGGAAACAAATGAATGATTTGACAACTACAGCTCCATATTCCATAATCTTTCAATCCAAACATAGATTTTTTAAATGTATTTTTATAGATGGAAAATAAATCTCTGCCACCACACATCCACCCTATCTGTCAAACACATTCATGGACGGACAACACTATCATTGTCTCACCAAGGCTATATCCCCAAATGCACAGTAGATTACAATACAGAATGACTCTTAGTAAAGTGTTGTGGAGTGTTTATCTGGATAAATGTGACTTGTCTCTCAACGTGTATACCCATGCATGTGACATGTGACAATGACATGAGCCTTTTGCTCCAGTTTGCACATGACTGTATGACATGACTGTCAGTGTAAATTCTGTTGAATTTATGTTTTGGAGAATTTTGACCATGAACCACAATAAAATGGACAAAAGTCTAGTAGTCAGACTGTGGAAAAATAACAGCATGTATTACCTGAAGGGATAGGCAAAGTTTACGGTGATGCTGAGGTTGCTCTGGCTCTTGTCCGGACATTCCACTCTAACCCGCAGGTGACCAGAGTACCCTCCACATGTTGCAAATGCACAGATGGCAAAGATCTGGAATATATATATATACATATATATATTATTAAACTCCTACTCATTGAGCACGCTAGACATAGGCTGTGTCCCAAATGGCACCCTATTCCCTACATAGTTGACTAGCTACTTTTTACCAAAAAGTAAAAAGTAGTGCACTACATAGGGAATAGGGTGCCATTTGGAATGCAGTTTACTAGTTTCTCCTGGTCCCTCCTTTCCTGTCTGGTCCTCTACAAAACTGCTAGACCAACAGCTGGACCTAATGAGCCACAGAGGACTGTCTATATCAACACCCTGACAGATGCCGCCTTTGGGAAAGTTATCAGGGAACTTTCTTGTGTGTAATATATGGTACATGGTGTGGATATATGGTGGAATGAGGTTTACTGTTGGTTGTCTTTAGAGTTTATGAATGTGGGACTGTTGATGTTGATCCTAAAATAAAATAAAACCTGCTCTTTCCAGTAGAGGAGAGTGGGGTAAGTTGAGCCAGAGAGGTAAGTTGAGCCAGCCTTGTTTCCATACACAAAATTAATAATTTGACCAAATATTTAGGAAGAGGTCATCATTTTATTGAGTCTGTGAAGGAAGAAACTACATGGAAAAAGTGGTAAGCAAGTTAGGTCCAAAAAACAGATTTTCACCAAATCAAATAAATGTATTGTGTTAGAGGTTTCATGATGCTTGTATCTAAACCAAAGGAGATAATTTAAAGATTGTTCTACATCAGTTTGGGTCTCTATAAGCTTCAATATGAGGTCCTAAACCTAGCATGAAAGTGCAGCCTTGTAGCTGTGTAGGCTAATATAGTCAAAATGTTTGACTTGGGGTCAGTTGAGCAAATTGAAGTGTCTCATGGCTACCCAGGGTAAGTTGTGCCAAGACACTACTTTTTTGGAACAAGCTATGTTTTCAAACCTGTAATGTTTACATGAATTATGATTATTTCAAGGGATACACAACATCCTGAAATACTATATATGTAGATAGAGGCAGGGACAGAGAGAGAGAGAGAGAGAGAGAGAGAGAGAGAGAGAGAGAGAGAGAGAGAGAGAGAGAGAGAGAGAGAGAGAGAGAGAGAGAGAGAGAGAGAGAGAGAGAGAGAGAGAGAGAGAGAGAGAGATTTCTCTCAGATTGTTTCTAAAAGGTATAACATACAGCCAGACAGTTGTTGTGTAATCCGATCAGATCCAAAGTGTTTAAGACCACATCTAATTAAGTGTGTGTGGCTATAATTATAATTAAAAGTCAGTGATTAGATGTATTTATAGAAGAATGATTAATGTGTCTGTTGTCTGCAAACATCCTGTTAATTCACTCATTCATATTCAAATGGGAAAAGGATGCATTCTAAATAGTTACAATCATTAATGACACATTATAACTAGAATAATCATTATTACGCCATGAAATTATAGATTAAAACACAGCTGTTAACAAAGTATCCTCTGAATACAAAGGCTTTTTGGTTTCAGTGTTAAAAGATGAACAGAAAGAGAGAGAGGGGGAGAAAGAGAGACAGAGAGAGAGACAAGAGAGAAAGGGGATTGTGAGAGAGAGGAGGAGAGAGAGAGAGAGAGAGACAGAGAGAGAGAGAGAGAGAGAGAGAGAGAGAGAAAGGGGAGAGAGAGAGAGAGAGGAGGAGAGAGAGATTAGAGAGAGAGAGACGAGAGAGAGAGAGAGAGAACCGGAGACAGAGAGAGAGGTAGAGAGAGGAGGAGAGAGAGTAGAAGAGAGCGAGAGAGAGAGAGGAGGAAGAGAGTCGAGGACATGAGAGAGAGAGAGCGAGGAAGAGCAGATCGCTAGTCGGAGAGAGAGCTCTCTATCTAGCATCTCTCTCGAGCTCCGAAGGAGCCCCTCTTTGAGAAAAAGAAACTTTTTTTCCTCCCCGGGGTTTCTAACACTCTCGAAGGAAGAAAGTGGAAAAGAAAAAAAAGGAAACAGTTGGAGGGTTTTTATTGGCCCATTTAACCTGGATAAGGTTGGGACAAACAAACCCAAAAGGTTAGAGGGGGACCCAAACACTTTGATTATTTCCCCCAAAAACCCCCCAAATTTAGAAAAAAAGGGAAAAAGGGGAGAAAAAAGAGAAAAAGAAAGGGAAAAAAAAAAAAAGAGAAAAAATAGGGGGAAAAAAGGGGAAAAGGGAAAGAAGGAAAAGGAAAAGGGAGAAAAGGGGGAAAAAGGAAAGGGGGGGAGAAGAAGGGGGAAAAAGGAGGAACGGAAAAGAGGGGGGAAGAGAGAGGAAAAAGGGGGCTTTTAAAAAAGGGGGGGGGGGGGGGAAAAAAACAATTTAAAGGGGGGGCCCCCCAAAGGGCCCCAAAAAAAAAAAACCCCCCCCCCCTTTTTTTTTTTGGGGGGTTTTCCCCTTTTGGGGGGGGGGGGGGCCTTTCTCCCCCCGGGGGGGGAAAGGGGGTCGAGAAGTATTAATTTTTTGAAACTGTTAAACCTTTTTTTGGGTTGTTTTTTTAAGACAACATAAAAAAAAATGATTTTTTAAAAAAGGGCTGACTGCAAACAGAGAGCCCCCTACTGTGGGTTAGGGGTGGGGGGGGGGGGCCCCCTAGAGGCTCAACCCTTTGGAATACGTCATGCCACCACACAAAACACACACACACCGCATGCATCAGCACCCCCCAAAAAAAAAAAACAAAAAAAAACCCCCAAAACACAAACACAAACCATCCTAAAGAACCCCCCCTGGGGAAAAAAAATTTATAAAAAATTTACCCCCCAAACAAAAAATATTTTTACAAACAAATTGAAATTAAAAAATTTTTTAAAAAAAAAAAAATCTAAACCTAAAAAAGCATAAAACACAAACCCCCCTAACTTCTAACAAATAATTATAATGCTGGTTTAACCAGGAATGTACTTACTAATGAAAATCAGTTACCCACAGTCCAAATATGAAAGAAACAACAACTTACCGGAGCAAATATGACCATACACATTTAAAAAGCACAGTGATTAAGTTCTACTCCACAAAAGGGTGTTAGCAGCTTTCTCCTCATACTAATGCACTGTCACTAATGTAGATGGTTCAACAACAGAGAGCAGAGAGAGAGGGAGAGAGAGAGACAGAGAGAGAGAGACAGACAGAGAGAAAGAGAGAGAGAGAGAGAGAGCTCATACTAATGCACTGTCACTAATGTAGATGGTTCAAAGACAGAGAGCAGAGAGAGAGGGAGAGAGAGACAGAGAGCGAGACAGAGAGAGAGAGGGAGAGAGACAGAGAGCAGAGAGAACAGAGAGCGGAGGTTGCCTGGAGGGAGGGGAGAGAAACGACAAGATATCTGAAGGGATGAGAGTAGAGTGCAAAGGGAGCTAGAGGGTAGGGGAAGGAAAATGATGTAGTGCAGAGCTCCTCTCTAGTATAACTGTGTGGCTCTGCTACTCTCTTTGAGGACAGACCTACCTACAGTACCAGACACTCCGGTAGAGAACAAATAGACAGAATTATGAGGATTCACCTAGCAGATTTCCACCCATAGATTCCCCAGAGAAACAGAGACAGATAATTGACCATGCACCAAACGTGTCTATGACAGGATTCTTCAGACATACTGTCCACTGGGTAATCAAGGTCCAACTTTTACAATGTTTTACTTTATCATGATCACAACCTTACTTTTCACATTGGTATACAGAGAGATTATTGGATAGGTTAATTATGAGATATGAAAGCTAATTTGTGTTTTAGATTTTAAAAAAATACATTTAAAAAAGCCACTTGTCATTTCCTACTAGCACTGAATTTGCTGATAAATACTTTGTTAAGGGAAAATGTACTTGATACGATTGTGATGTGTTGTTTGTTGTCTCACCTAGCTATCTATCTTACGATGAATCCACTAATTGTAAGTCACTCTGGATAAGTGCGTATGCTAAATTACTAAAACGTAGAGACCGATATCATGTTACACAACACAGAATTCTAATAATCTTTTTTCATTTCCCATAAATACACTTACCACATATTTTACATAAATCAATTACAAAGCTAAAACATTCAGTGCCTTGGGAATGATCCAGTGCTTGTGATGTTCGAGAAGTTATTTCATACTTATTTTTTCACAGTAAAATATCAACAAGGAGGTAAGATAATATGGATATGGTGAACCGTAGGATAACACCTGAACTGCTTACAATTGTACAGCCACACTGATCATCACTATTACCCTGTTGAAGGTATAGAGAGTTTAGGAGCTGTCCATGGTGCTGAAACATGTACAACTCAATGACAGGGAACCATAGAAAGGCTTATTTAAACTGGTATGTATCTAACTCCAGTCCAGAGATAAACAAGTGGGGAGATGTAAAGTATAGATGAAAGGTGCTCAGATGCTTGGACCCAGATAATAGATGACAGCGTCTGGCAGGGTCTGACTCTCAGCACAGAGGGAGGGAAGCCTGTTGGAGAATATTAAGGGTTGGAGTCATTGAATTTATTGAGTGTTTCTAGTATCAATGTGATAGATGCATATTATCTGTATTTTTCTATCTCTAAGTGTAGTACCTCCTTTATAAACCTGATAGTGGACTATACTAGAATTCCTTGGGTTGGAGTCCTTGAATCTAATGAATGTCTCTAGTATCATAGAGATAGAGATGCATACATAAATACAAACAGACATACATACTGTATCTCTATCTAGTTCTAGTATCCCCTTATAACCTTGATAGGGGACTATATTACACACCCACTACCCTTTTAACCATCACCCAGTTAAACATCTAGTCATTTTTTAAGTATTTTTATTGGTCGTATGGGCGGTCCAACGTCATGATAAGTGTAATTAGAAGACAACAAATGAGCACTGGTCTCCACTTCCTCTAAAGCCCAGATGGGAAGCCATCATGCTGGGAGGAAAGATGGTAGGTAATAAAGTCATTATTGCATTGTTACATTACTTTGAGCTCTACCGAACCTGTTAAAGGCAACACCAATAAGATGAATAGTATTTTATTTTATTTTGGGTTCCTAAATTAAACATACATGACAAGATGACAGGGTGCAACTCTTATTTCCAAGGTCATCCTACCATTATATAGCTGAACTTTCATGGAATCCCACATCATGGCAATGTTCTCATTAACTGTAGTTAATCCAGTCTCTCTATATACCAGGTGGTATATTAATGTTTGAGATGGGAAGAAAAGATGACATACAGTACTTGATCACAGTCAAAGATGAGCCAGTTCCTCAAAAGAAAGCTCTCGAGTTGCCATAGTAACCCAGAGTCTGGAGCAGTCCAAAATGTTAACTCAAAGACACTGTTTGTACAATCTTAACTTTTAATGGAACAAAAACCCTACCCTCCTCTCCACTGATTAAACTTACTCAGTCATTACTGAGTAATTGTGGAAAAGAGATCTGATATTTATTTGGTAAAGGGAGTTTGAATTACAGTTTGACGTCACATGAAGCACAGGTCAGACACAATTATATATTCCAACCACAATCCTTTGGTACAGTTTCTCTACAGTTGTGGAAACAACAATCTCAAATTCACATTCCTACTGACGGAGCAATGCATTTTCTAAATCAGTATAGTGCCTCATAGATGCAACATTTTCTAGGAACAGTACTTAACACAGTATATATTTGCTCCTCAGCTTCTGATTGTTATTGTCATCATCTTTGAACCCGTGGCCTTGGACACCATGGTGACTAGTGATGGTTAATTGGTGTCTGATTAGGCTATTGTATTGATCAGATGTGGAAAATCAATGGGATTAGTCTGTGAATGGACTTCAATCTGATGTTAACATTTTGTGTGCAGTCAGTGAATGCTACTATCCATAAACTCATACTGTAGAATGTCATGTTTTTTTATTTACTGTTGCGTTATATTCAAGCAATAAGGCCAAAGGGGGTGTGGCTAATGGCTGTTCTTACCTAATGCATGACGTGAAACGGAGTGCCTGGATACCGCCCTTAGCCGTGGTATATTGGCCATATATCGCAAACCCTGAGGTGACTATTATAAACTGGTTACCAACACACAGTCATTCGGAAAGTATTCAGACCCCTTGACTTTTTCCACATTTTGTTACGTTACAGCCTTATTCTAAAATGTATTAAATAAATACAAAATCTCATCAATCTCCACACAACACCCCATAATGACAAAGTGAAAACAGGTTTTTAGAAATGTTTGCACATTTATTAAATATAAAAACCATAAAAACCTTATTTACATAAGTATTCAGACACTTTGCTATGAGACTCGAAATTGAGCTCAGGTGCATCCTGTTTCCATTGATCATCCTTGAGATGTTTCTACAACTTGATTGGAGTCCACCTGTGGTAAATTCAATTGATTGGACATGATTTGGAAAGGCACACACCTGTCTATATAAGGTCCCACAGTTGACAGTGCATGTCAGAGGTCGAAGGAATTGTCCATAGAGCTCCGAGACAGGATTGTCGAGGCACAGATCTGGGGAAGGGTACCTAAAAATGTCTGCAGCATTAAAGGTCCTCAAGAACATAGTGGTCTCCATCATTCTTAAATGGAAGAAGTTTGGAACCACCAAGACTCTTCCTAGAGATGGCCGCCAGGCCAAACTGAGCAATCGGGGGAGAAGGGCCTTGGTCAGGGAGGTGACCATGAACCCGATTGTCACTCTGACAGAGTTCCAGAGTTCCTCTGTGGTGATGGGAGAACCTTCCAGAAGGACAACAATCTCTGCATCACTCCACCAATCAGGTCTTTATGGTAGAGTGGCCAGACGGAAGCCACTCCTCAGTAAAAGGCACATGACAGCCTACTTGGAGTTTTCTAAAAGGCACCTAAAGGACTCTCAGACCTTGAAAAACAAGATTCTCTGGTCTGATGAAACCAAGATTGAACTCTTTGGCCTGAAAGCCAAGCGTCACATCTGGAGGAAACCTGGCACCATCCCTACGGTGAAGCATGGTTTTGGCAGCATCATGCTGTGGTACTGGGAGACTAGTCAGGATCGAGGGAAAGATGAGCGGAGCAAAGTACAGAGAGATACTTGATGAAAACCTGCTCCAGAGTGCTCAGGAACTCAGACTGGGGCGAAGGTCCAGACAATGACCCTAAGCACACAGCCAAGACAACGCAGAAGTGGCTTTGGGACAAGTCTCTGAATGTCCTTGAGTGGCCCAGCCAGAGCCCTGATCGAACATCTCTGGAAAGACCTGAAAATAGTTGTGCAGCGACACTCCCCATCCTACCTGACAGAGCCTGAGAGGATCTGCAGAGAAGAATGGGAGATGCTCCCCAAATACAGGTGTGCCAAGGGAAAAAACTATTTAATCCATATTAGAATAAGGTTGTAACGTAAGAAAATGTGGAAAAAGTCAAGGGGTCTGAATACTTTCCCAATGCACTGTATAATTGTAGCGTCACCATCTTTATTGCGAAAAGAAATACAAATACGAACATAACTTTAGACTACATGTTCAGAGGTAATGAACTGTCATTGATCAGCACTGCAATTGATAATACAAGTGGTTCTGCGCTAACGGTGACAGAAATCAGGAATGCAGACATGCTCTATAGACCTCTATATCTATATGAGTGACTGCGTCCAACACACCAATACAGGTAGGCACCACATTACTACAAGACAAAACAACTTACTCAATCAAGAATGATGGTCTTGTAAGTATAAAAGCAAAGTTTGATTTCATATAATAAAAAAAGCTTGAAATGGTAGTGGAATGGGATAATGTCTTAGTGTATGTTGTTTTTATCGCACTGCTTTGCTTTATCTTGGCCAGGTCGCAGTTGTAAATGAGAACTTGTTCTCAACTGGCTTACCTGTTTAAATAAAGGTGAAATAAAAAAATTAAAAAATTAAAAATTTAATGCAGTACACATCACATTATTGTGGGAGCACCTCCGCTAAGAGTATGAATGAAGCTGTTTGAGGAGGTTTGAATCCTAAGCAACCTGCCTACGCATTGTTTGAATTACAATAGACCAACATAGCTACTGTAGTAGGTCAAAGCTGTTTGCTGGAAAACGTTGGTAGAGCATGGGTGAAGTAGGGATTGTGGTGCTCATGTGAATTTCCTTTCTTTTTTGGCTTCAGACCAATGCCTACTTCTCAATTAAAACAGTATTTTTATAGTCTCAGCCCCATCACCATATATAGCTGCACAAATGTACAGAAATAGAATAAGTCACACAATTAAACCAAACCGGGTTGAGGGTTAGGGTTGAACCTGGATGTGGATATAAAGCTAGGGTAAGGGTTAGGGTTGAACTGGCATGTGGACATAAAGATAGGGTTAGGGTTAGGGTTGAACTGGCATGTGGACATGAAGCTAGGGTAAGGGTTAGGGTTAGGGTTAGGGCAAGGAGTTTTCTGTGACTATGTAACCTGAACAGGAATAACTCTGGCCCCTAAGACCTAATTATAGCCAATTGAGTTTTTGTTAGTCAGGTCTCAATAGCCTACCTATGATGCTGAGGCTTCGGAATCTGAAAACGTTTTGACCTCTCTTGTCTTCTATTGACCACACATCATCACCTCCTTAACTTTCCTCACCACCTCAATAGCCAGAGATATGTATGGCATCCATGGGCAGCTGGGCAAGCATGGGCATGTTCATACTGTACTGGTGGTCATATAACACACTACCTCACTCACAGCAATGGGTATTACTGTCAGTCTACTATAAAACCTAGACAATCTCTCACTTCCACAATGTACAGTATGTCTATGGGACTTCTGGTCTGGAGCTGTAATAACTACAGTAACAAGCTGTAGCCAGTGGTTACTAAGTCAATATTTACAGCAGAAGTAGAGTAGTTACAGTCAGGCAGAGAGCCGATCAGGTTTCAGATCAGCTGTGGTGTCTGAGGGCAGCTGCCACTATCAGAAGGGAGGATGCTGTTCCCTGAGAGACCAGCATGGGGCACTATTGGGCTGCAGGTACTATTTAATGAAGCTGCCAGTTGAGGACCTGTGAGGAGCCTGTTTCTCAAACTAGACACTCTAATGTATTTGTCCTCTTGCTCAGTTGTGCAACGGTGCCTCCCACTCCTCTTTCTATTCTGGTTAGAGCCAGTTTGCGCTGTTCTGTGAAGGGAGTAGTACACAGCGTTGTACGAGATCTTCAGTTTCTTGGCAATTTCTCGCATGGAATAGCCTTCATTTCTCCGAACAAGAATAGACTGACGAGTTTCAGAAGAAAGTTATTTGTGTCACGTTCGTTGTGTAAAGGATCGGACCAAGGTGCAGCGTGGTATGCGTACATAGTCATTTATTTTAATAAACACCGACAAAATAACAAAATCCAACAGAACGTGAAGTTCAAGAGGCTAAACATCAAACAAGCCAAACAGAAACAAGATCCCACAACTAAGGTAGGCAACAAGTATGATCCCCAATCAGAGACAACGACCGACAGCTGCCTCTGATTGGGAACCACACCCGGCTAACATAGAAATATATAAATTAGATTTCCCACCCTGACCAACCCAACTAGAGATGTCTCAATGTCAGGGCGTGACACTTTGTTTCTGGCCATTTTGAGCCTGTAGTCGAACCCACAATTGCTGATGCTCCAGATACTCAACTAGTCTCAAGAAGGACAGTTTTATTGCTTCTTTAATGAGCTGTGCAGTTTTCAGCTGTGCTAACATAATTGCAAACGGGTTTTCTAATGATCAATTAGCCTTTTAAAATGATAAACTTGGATTAGCAAACACAACGTGCCACTGGAACACAGGACTGATGGTTGCTGATAATGGGCCTCTGTACGTCTATGTAGATATTCCATAAAAAATCAGCCGTTTCCAGCTACAATAGCCATTTACAACATTAACAATGTCTACACTGTATTTCTGATCTATTTTATTTTATTTTAATGGACTAAAAATTGTTTTTCTTTCGAAAACAAGGACATTTCTAAGTGACCCCAAACTTTTCAACGGTAGTGTATATTATTTTAAATATATTTAAAAATATATATATTTTCCCTCTTTATTATTTTCCCCTAACCCTACCATGCCTCCCCTAATTGGAGTAAACTAATGGACAACAACACTTAGGCTTCTAATTCCAGCTTATACATACTATATAAATTTTACGGACACAGTATATTTTACATTAATGATCTTTTGTTTGTTGTTAGTCCCACCCTTCAGCTACCCCCAACCCCTCCCATCTATCTCTGAAGACCATCCTGTTTTGATTTCTAGCTGTCATATATTTTTCCACTGTGCTGTGATGTTTCACAAAAGTTCTGAACCTTTCTATTCTCATAGTTTCTACAGTTTGTAAATTAAAGATAAACATTTTTGCTAAGAGTGTTACTATATTATTGATCGATTGACGATGACTTTTCAAATCACCCAGCAGTGCTATTTGCAGAGTTAGCTCCAAGTAAGTGTTGAAAATGTTCAGCCATTTGTGAACCTGCGACCAAAAACAAGCTACATATGGACAGTACCAAAACAAGTAATCTACTGATTCTGTCTCTTTGCAGCAAAATCTGCAGAGCTGAGATGGTTGTATCCCCCATATATATAACGTTCTATTGGTTGCAAGAATTTGATATAATAATTTAAATAGAAAAACCACGTTTTGTATCTGCCGTCATTTTGTGTACAAGTTCATAAATCATGTACCATGGAATCTGTACATCAAAAATCTCCTCCCAACTATTTTACAACCTGTATGGTGCAGCTGTCAATTTTTTGGTCCTTCAATGAAACTGGTATACTTTTTTATTTATCACAATTTTCTTTAGCCAATTTTGGTCTTTAATGCAGGGCAGACAGACAAGTTCCTTACCTTCTCCCCTTTCCACTTGCCTCCATTTTTGCAGCCTTTACACAGTTTAGTTGACCCTCTTCTTCTTCGAAGTATGGGTGGCACAGGAGGCTGCTGAGGGGAGGACAGCCCATAATAATGGCTGGAACAGAGCAAATGGAATGGCATCAAACACATGGAAACCATGTGTTAGATGTACAGTATTTGATACCATTCCACTCATTCCGCTCCAGCCATTACCACAAGCTCATCCTCCGCAATTAAGGTGCCACCAACCTCCTTTGATATGTGCTATAGATGGATTAACTGACGTCACAAAAACGATGCGTACGCTTCAATGGGGCAGAAGTCCATGTGTTGAAGTGATTCAAGCATTTCACTACATCCGCAATAACATCTACTAAATATGTACAGTGGGGGAAAAAAGTATTTAGTCAGCCACCAATTGTGCAAGTTCTCCCACTTAAAAAGATGAGAGAGGCCTGTAATTTTCATCATAGGTACACGTCAACTATGACAGACAAATTGAGAAGAAAAAAATCCAGAAAATCACATTGTAGGATTTTTAATGAATTTATTTGCAAATTATGGTGGAAAATAAGTATTTGGTCACCTACAAACAAGCAAGATTTCTGGCTCTCACAGACCTGTAACCTCTTCTTTAAGAGGCTCCTCTGTCCTCCACTCGTTACCTGTATTAATGGCACCTGTTTGAACTTGTTATCAGTATAAAAGACACCTGTCCACAACCTCAAACAGTCACACTCCAAACTCCACTATGGCCAAGACCAAAGAGCTGTCAAAGGACACCAGAAACAAAATTGTAGACCTGCACCAGGCTGGGAAGACTGAATCTGCAATAGGTAAGCAGCTTGGTTTGAAGAAATCAACTGTGGGAGCAATTATTAGGAAATGGAAGACATACAAGACCACTGATAATCTCCCTCGATCTGGGGCTCCACGCAAGATCTCACCCCGTGGGGTCAAAATGATCACAAGAACGGTGAGCAAAAATCCCAGAACCACACGGGGGGACCTAGTGAATGACCTGCAGAGAGCTGGGACCAAAGTAACAAAGCCTACCATCAGTAACACACTACGCCGCCAGGGACTCAAATCCTGCAGTGTCAGACGTGTCCCCATGCTTAAGCCAGTACATGTCCAGGCCCGTCTGAAGTTTGCTAGAGTGCATTTGGATGATCCAGGATTTGGAGAATGTCATATGGTCAGATGAAACCAAAATATAACTTTTTGGTAAAAACTCAACTCGTCGTGTTTGGAGGACAAAGAATGCTGAGTTGCATCCAAAGAACACCATACCTACTGTGAAGCATGGGGGTGGAAACATCATGCTTTGGGGCTGTTTTTCTGTAAAGGGACCAGGACGACTGATCCGTGTAAAGGAAAGAATGAATGGGGCCATGTATCGTGAGATTTTGAGTGAAAACCTCCTTCCATCAGCAAGGGCATTGAAGATGAAACGTGGCTGGGTCTTTCAGCATGACAATGATCCCAAACACACCGCCCGGGCAACGAAGGAGTGGCTTCGTAAGAAGCATTTCAAGGTCCTGGAGTGGCCTAGCCAGTCTCCAGATCTCAACCCCATAGAAAATCTTTGGAGGGAGTTGAAAGTCTGTGTTGCCCAGCGACAGCCCCAAAACATCACAGCTCTAGAGGAGATCTGCATGGAGGAATTGGCCAAAATACCAGCAACAGTGTGTGAAAACCTTGTGAAGACTTACAGAAAACGTTTGACCTGTGTCATTGCCATCAAAGGGTATATAACAAAGTATTGAGAAACTTTTGTTATTGACCAAATACTTATTTTCCACCATAATTTGCAAATAAATTCATAAAAAATCCTACAATGTGATTTTCTGGAATTTTTTTTCTCATTTTGTCTGTCATAGTTGACGTGTACCTATGATGAAAATTACAGGCCTCTCTCATCTTTTTAAGTGGGAGAACTTGCACAATTGCTGGTTGACTAAATACTTTTTTCCCCCCACTGTATATGTGACCAATAAAATTAGATTAGATTTGATTCTGGATGGCCAGATAACTAGCAACAATGACAAGAAGCGGCCACGTGGGGAATCGTAGGTGGCTCGTTTCAGCTAGTTTTATCTTGTTCTTGTTTTGAGTTGTTTTGACTGATTTCATGTCAATGATAATATGGCAAAAATTCCTAAGCTTGCTAACTATCAACTCTAATGATGTATCTGAGAGACAACAAGTGCTCATTGTGCAAATGTATTTATGTTTTCAATAAACATTGGAGACGAAATGTTACATGTTGTCAACAATCTTTTTGCCCCATAGTTTTGCCCCATAGTAGCATACACGTTGGTTTTGTTGCTATTCATTAGGAACAAAATGGGAGAAAACGGGCTGAAACAGGGAGGGAATATCTGAACATTTTCCGTTGCAAAGTGTTGTGCTACAGTGTGCACTAATGAATACGACCCTGGACTGGTTTGTATTACCTTCCTGTGGGACCTGGGCAAGGTATAGTTACCACTTTTAATAAGCCACAGAGTGCAGGGCAGGCTAATCATCACCAAGTCAATGATATCACAACAATGAGTAACCTATATATTTTAGGTGTCCATATCGAAGTGTGTTTGTGAGATCCTGTTGCCACATCACTATGACATTCATATCACACTTTAGTCCCACTGTCGGAAACATTCCACGTTTCTTCTTTCTCCTTTTCATATCAAGAGGAGAGTGTCTTTTTACTTCTGGTCATACATTTTGTAAGTCAAAATAAGTATCTTGCAGAGTTCCCAATCTGAGTTGTCTCTATTGGATCAGATGGGCAGGGCAGATCACTGTATGATTATAGGAGCAGGCGGTATATAGTCCTCTCTCTAGGTATTTATATCCTGCAGCAGGGAGTGTCTTCCCTTCTGCCCTCTCCCCTCTCCCCTCTCCTCTCTTCCTGGGTATGGGGAAGTAATCCACACACCAAAGCCCCTTTGAAAATTCAAGCCAGGCCAGTCTCACGTTCCAAATATAACCAACTGCTGCTGGCCACGCCCGTGTGAACAGCCTGCTTGGCTGAAAGTGTCACAGTTTGACAGTGTGGTGTGAGTGTGTAGGTATGTGTGTAGGCAGAGTGAGTCTTTCTGGTCCTGTTACTCTCTGCACACCCATATTTGAATCGTTTTTGTGTTTAATTGAAATCAATTCTAAAAACGTTATTTGTTCCGTTGAATAGGCACCATGATGAGGAAGACAGATCCAATAGAGACAGAGATTGACCTGGGAGACTCTGATGATGAAGACCTTGATGCAGACCTGTATAAGGACTGTGAGGAGCCTCAGCTGCTATGGAAGGCTGAACTGGGGGACAGGATGGATGAGGAGGAGGCTGTGTCCCCGTTAGTGGATGTTAGTGACACCAAGCCCCTGCTGAATGAGAGAGACCCTCGAGGAGTCAACGACTGTCTGAAGGTATTTCACACAACCTCACATCAATGCATCAATGCATTGACACAGGAGCTAACTGATAACCAGACGACATTTGTTGTGTTTATACATTTTTACCAATTTGAATGACTTCATTAATGAGTTCTTTGTGCTTTCTGGATTGTCACCTGAAACAGGTAATACTGTCACAAGCTTGATATAAAGTGTTGTGGCGTCAAGCATATTATCTGTCTTAACCCAATTAGTCAAACCTAATTATTTAAACTATCAAACAAATCTGAAGAGTTTTATATTTCTACAGTAATATGTGGCATGTCACAATAAATGTTTTTCTTATACTTGTACTGCCCTCTTGTGGTCATGTCATTGACTGCAGTTTATCGATATTTTCCATTGAGTGGCAAAAACATACTGTCTGTAAACAATCACCCCGAGACTATGACTCTGCCTCTAGGTGAGCTTTGAGGATGTGATAGCAGAGCCAGTGTCAGTACGTAGCGGAGACAGAGTGTGGATCTGGAGCAACGCCCTGTTCGAGGTCACCAGGGTCTGGCTCTACCGCATAGTGACCGTCCTGCTGGCCGTCCCTGTGTCCATCATCACCGGACTGATCTTCGCCATCCTCAGCTTCCAACACATATGGTATGTCTATAATATCAGTTCACTGACCACTGAATACAGTACATGCCCACTGGGCACACACTGGTTGAATCAACGTTGTTTCCACGTCATTTCAATGAAATTACATTGAACCAACGTGGAATAGATGTTGAATTGACGTCTGTGCCCAGTGGGTGAACCATAAGTTACCATCTTGAAACTCTTCTCTTCTCTTACTCCATGTATTCTCTATCCAACCCTGAAAGGTTCTTTAGCCCATGCGTGCGTTATATCCTTATCATCACATACTGGCTGCAGAGCCTATGGAGCATCGTACTGGATATCGGTGTCCTCCCATTCCTCACTAGTGCAGCAAGGTGCTACGTTGGAATCAGACTTCGCCTGACTCAAGAATGACAGAATATTGGACCTTCACACAAAATCAGGATTGGGAATATGGGATTGTTACCCTACTATGGAATGTCCTCTTGGGAGACTATCAGGCCTGGACAAAGTGTTTGTAGGATGCTCTAGGATCAGACCAGGGGCACAACTACCGGCTTTTTGGTGGTTCATGGGATCTTACAACTGAACTGAAATCAGTGTGATTGATCAAGACAGGATTTTTAAACATTTTTTAACAATATCCAACAAGGTGATTGATTACTTATCTAAGAAGTTGAAAAGGGGAATGTGTAAAATACACACTCATTTAGGGTAATTTTGTATCTGGTATGCACTTGAATTGTGCTTTGAGGTGTCCTTTTCTCATGTGATAATGTCAGATGATTCCCATGTTTGATGAGCACATTCAATATTATTCAGACAGCACTGGTATATAGTGTTATCTCAATAAAATCTGACCAGACAGTTCAAAATGTGCCTCCACAATTTCTTGTTGTATAGTAGAACATTTAAAGTTAACTATAGCTGTACTTTTATCATATACACAACCAGTCAAAAGTTTGGACACACCTACTCATTCAAGGGTTTTTCTTAATTTTTACTATTTTTTACATTGTAGAATAATAGTGAAGACATCACAACTATGAAATAACACATATGGAATCATGAAGTAACCAGAAAAGTGTTAAACAAATCAAAATATATTTTATATTTGAGATTCTCCAAATAGCCACACTTTGCTTTGCACACTCTTGGCATTCTCTCAACCAGCTTCATGAGGAGGTCACCTGGAATGCATTTCAATTAACAGGTGTGCCCTGTTAAAAGTTAATTGGTGGAATTTCTTTCCTTCTTAATGCATTTGAGCCAATTAGTTGTGTTATGACAAGGTAGGGGGGTATACAGAAGATAGCCCTATTTGGTAAAAGACCAAGTCCATATTATGGCAAGAACAGCTCAAATAAGCAAAGAGAAATGACAGTCCATCATTACTTTAAGACATGAAGGACAGTCAATACGGAAAATGTCAAGAACTTTAAAAGTTTCTTCAAGTGCAGTCACAAAAACCATCAAGCGCAATGATGAAACTGGCTCTCATGAGGACCGCCACAGGAATAGAAGACCCAGTGTCACCTCTGCTGCAGTGGATAAGTTCATTACAGTTAACAGCCTCAGAAATTGCAGCCCAAATAAATGCTTCACAGAGTTGAAGTAACAGACACATCTCAACATCAACTGTTCAGAGGGAACTGTTTGAATCAGGCCTTCATGGTCAAATTGCTAAAAAGAAACCACTACTAAAGGACACCAATAATAAGAAGAGATCTGCTTGGGCCAAGAAACTCGAGCAATGGACATTAGAATGGTGGAAATGTGTCCTTTGGTCTGGAGTCCAAATTGGAGATTTTTGGTTCCAACCGCCGTGTCTTTGTGAGATCCGGTGTGGGTGAACGGATGATCTCCGCATGTGTAGTTCCCACCGTAAATCATGGAGAATTAACCAGCATGGCTACCACAGCATTCTGCAGCGATACGCCATCCCATCTGGTTTGGGCTTAGTGGGACTATCATTTGTTTGTCAACAGGACAATGACCCAACACACCTCCAGGCTGTGTAAAGGCTATTTGACCAAGAAGGAGAGTGATGGAGTGCCCCATCAGATGACCTGGCCTCCACAATCCCCCGACCTCAACCCAATTGAGATGGTTTGGGATGAGTCGGATGGCAGAGTGAAGGAAAAGCAGCCAACACGTGCTCAGCATATGTGGGAACTCCTTCAAGACTGTTGGAAAAGCATTCCAGGTGAAGCTGGTTGAGAGAATGCCAAGAGTGTGCAAAGCTGTCATCAAGGCAAAGGGTGGCTATTTGAAGAATCTCAATTATAAAATATATTTTGATTTGTTTAACACTTTTTTGGTTACTACATGATTCCATGTGTTATTTCATAGTTTTGATGTCTTCACTATTATTCTACAATGTAGAAAATAGTAGAAATAAAGAAAAACCCTTGAATTAGTAGGTATGTCAAAACTTTTGACTGGTACTGTATATTCTGATGAAAATTGGAATGCATTATATCTAAAATAAATGTTATAGATTCATCCCCTATTCTTCTACGAGACACAACTTTTTTCAATATCAATGTTGTACTCAGTACAGTAATAAGATTAAAATAGATTGGTAAAAGGGGTTCTTGTTATTGAAAGGTGGTACTATCCAAATGTTGAATTTATTCCTTCACACCCACTGATTGTATGGTGACCTGATCACCAAGTTTGCCGATGACACAACAGTGGTAGGCCTGCTCACCGCCAACGATGAGACAGCCTATAGGGAGGAGGTCAGAGACCTGGCAGTGTGGTGCCAGGATACCAACCTCTCCCTCAACATGATCAAGACAAAGGAGATGATTGTGGACTACAGGAAAAGGAGGGCCGAGCATGCCCCCATTCTCATCAACGGAGCTGTAGTGGAGCAGGTTGAGAGCTTCAAGTTCCTTGGTGTCCACATCACCAACAAACTATCATTTTCCAAACACACCAAGACAGTCGTGAAGCGGGCACGACAACGCCTATTCCCCCTCAGGAGACTGAAAAGATTTGACATGGGTCCTCAGATCCTCAAGAAGTTCTACAGCTGCACCATCGAGAGCATCCTGACTGGTTGCATCACCGCCTGGTATGGCAACTGCTCGGCCTCCGACCACAAGGCACTACAGAGGGTAGTGCGTACGGCCCAGTACATCACTGGGGCCAAGCTTCCTGCCATCCAGGACCTCTATACCAGGCTGTGTCAGAGGAAGGCCCTAAAAATTGCCAAAGACTCCCTAGTCATAGACTGTTCTTTCTGCTACCGCACGGCAAGCTGTATCGGAGCCCCAAGTCTAGGTCCAAAAGGCTTCGTAACAGCTTCTACCCCCAAGCCATAAGACTCCTGAACAGCTAATCAAATGGCTACCCGGACTATTTGCATTGACCCACCTCGCTGCTGCTACTCTCTGTTTATTATCTATGCGTAGTCACTTTACCTCTACCTACATGTACATATTACCTCAATTACCTCAACTAACCTGTGCCCCCGCACGTTGACTCTGTACCGGTGCCCCCTGTATATAGCCTCGTTACTGTTATTTTATTGTTGCTCTTTAATTATTTGTTATATATATATATATATAATTATTATTTTTTATTTTTATTTTTTATTATTATTATTTTTTATTTTTTCCGATTCGATTATTGTTCCTAAATCAAGGAATACTTATTTTGCATTGGGTTGATGAGTTCATGTTTGTGAGAGATGTTGGCAGGAGTAATGGAATCATGTTATTGGATGAGGTATTCGGTGTGAATCAGATAATCTGGGAATTCATGTGATTTCTCATCATATCAGGAGCTACTACAGCTAGCTACTCAATCTGTCCATCTGTCTGACCATCTCCCTCACCGAGTACAGTCAGAAAAGTATTGTAATACACACACACACACACACACACACACACACACACACACACCAGTGTGCTGCTCTCCTTTCTCTCCACTGAGAGTTGAACCACATCCCAGAGTTGAACCACATCCCAGAGTTGAACCACATCCCAGAACACTATTCCTCACTTTCATCCTGACCTTTCTTTAGACTTAAGCCAATAGTTGGGAGGTGAGGAATTTAATATAATGATGATTACTTACTATATACTGTATATGTATTGCTGTATTTTGTGGTCGCTATGGAAACACAGGTTTGAGTGACAAGAAAAAACAGGCAGACCTTCGTGGTACATTCCATTTGTGGTTGCTATAGAAACACAGGTTTGAGTGAATAGAAAAAACAGGCAGACCTTCATTGTATATTCCACCGTCATCAGCCTGCTACATCTCCTGCCAAGTTGCATTATTTTAGGTGCCTCTCAGGATTTATAGGGTTAATGCTAGAAGAGAAAGCATTTTGATGCTGTTAATCACCACTGTCTGCTCTCAACTTAACGTGTGGTAGTAAATGTATCACAAACTCAAAATGCATAGGCCTACATGTCAGTCTCAGATCTTTGCACAGTTCTCTGTCCCAGCAGCAGATCCACCTGCTCAAACATATACGACAAGTCTCTGCATGGAGGGAATAACCAGAACATATCTTGGTAGGGTATCATAAGGCACATGGAAAGTGTCATCCAATTCTCTGTACGGACATCACTTGTCTATATCTAAGCATTGCAATATGGCATAACACACTTCCTGTTAGTGTACTGGTGAGAGGTTTCCAATATCTTCACCACAGGAGGTTGGTGGCACCATAATTGGGGAGAACATGCAAGTGGTAATGGTTGGAGCAGAATAAGTGGAATGGTATCAAATACATCAAAGATGTTTGATGCCATTCCATTTGCTCTGAATCCGCCCATTATTATGAGCCGTTCTGTGATCTTCACACTATATTGGGCTACAGTAATTACTGTGGTGAACCATCAGGGATGTGTGAAATGCAACATTGGTCTGCTCTCTCATTTAAGAAATGCTTTGGGTCCCAGTGTGAGGTATGGCATGAGTGTGGATAGAGAATGGGCCTTACCGGTGTGTGTGTGTATGGTTTGGTTTTACTCTCCTGGGGACCAGAAGTCCTCACAAGGATAGTAAAATAAGGAAAATTAGGATAAGTGGGAACATTTCACCAGTCCCCACAAGGAAAAAATATATTTAAACTTAGAGGTTAGGTTTAGGGTTAGGGTTAGAATTAGGGTTAAGGTTTTGGGGTTAAGGTTAAGGTTAGGATTAGGTTAAGGGTTACGTTTAGGGTTAGGGGTTATGGAAAATAGGATTTTGAATGGGAATCAATTGTTTGGTCCCCACAAGGATAGTAAAACAAAGGTGTGTGTGTTTGTTCGTTCGTTGGTGTGTTTACAAGATGTTTATAAGCGATAATTAACGAGAATGTGTTGTTGTCAACAAAGTATGTGTGTAACTGTAGTCTATGTGTTGTGTGTTTGTGTGTTTATGCTATGCTATGGCTACAGTGGTTACAGTTTGACAGGACAACTAGGGGCTGTTAGTAGTGGCAGCTGCCTGCTGGGTGCTGCTGGCATTCCAGGAGTGACATCACAGTGAGGGGAAATCCAGAAGCTTGGGTACAGCCACTCCCTGTCCCACTCCCCACACTGCCTCTTTGACCACTACAGCTACCACTACCCAGCTCCAGGATCACTACCAGCCCTGCTCAGACCGCTCTTCTCGGACCCCTCTACTCTTCCAGGACCCGGGCCCTGCCTTGTACCTCTCTGCCCCCCTTCTCTGATTAGCATATGACCGTAACCATGGCTGACATCAACAATGGTTATGAACAGAAGTTTCAGGCAGATGGACATCATAAAGAGATTGACCTGATCAACAGAGACCCCAAGCAAGTCAACGAGGATGTGGTGAAGGTAGGCTATATTACATTTAAGTGTGTGTGTGTGTGTGTGTGTGTGTGTGTGTGTGTGTGTGTGTGTGTGTGTGTGTGTGTGTGTGTGTGTGTGTGTGTGTGTGTGTGTGTGTGCGCGCGCACCAGATAGCTGTGGGCCTACTGAAGTACTGTCACCCCATACTGGACTTAGAAATGCCTTGGCTTTTTTGTGTCAATGGCACTGAAGGAGCTTCTGGTTCTGGAGTATGTTGTCTCATTGTACAAAGCGTTCTTAGTCAGGTTGGGAAGAGAAGGATGAAAATCATTATAATTAATAATGTAGCTATTAATGGATTATTTATTGTATGTTGTGTTATGGAGTAGCCTGTGTGACATCTTGATCTGGCAGTGTAACCTTTGGGTTACGATTGTGCCCCATCTATTTCTGGGAAGGCAAACGCAACGGTGTGAATGGCAGTGGAATGGAATATTTATCTTCCAAGACTGCGATCATGGAATTTGTTCTAATAAATGTTTTTACATAATGTCTTTGATGGTTTTCTCTGGTATTCTTTGATTTGCTAATGAATCATTAGGCTTTTATGGCTTTTATGGCTTTTATGGCCCTCTGTATATGACTGTAAGTCACTTTGGATAAAAGCGTCTGCTAAATGGCATATTATTATTATTATTATATACAGCAAGTGTATTCATAGTTACCGGTAGTGGTGTCAGATGGACTGCAGCTTACAAATACTGTTCCTTTAATTAGATCTGTGACGTTAAAACAGACGGGTTGTTAGAATGAGAACGTCTATATGTTGTAATAATGTATCCAATTGCCCTATTCTGTATTTACTCATGATAGACATATTTTTAATTGAGCTAAAAGAAGGTCCATGGCTGTAGCATGATGCGCTACAATACCCATAATGCTCTGCGTAAGATATTAGGTTTTATCTTAGTAAAGATGTTCCTGAAGCTAACATAATGGTGTCCTGTCTCATTGGTGTCAGAAGCGGGACCCTTTTATCAATTACAGTGCAATGGCCTCTCTGTCTCCCCCTGCAGGTGGACTTTGAGGATGTGATCGCTGAGCCTGACGGGACTCACAGTCTGGACGGGGTGTGGAAGGCCAGTTACACCACCTTCACTGTGTCTAAGTACTGGTGCTACCGCATCCTATCGGCCATTTTGGGGATCCCAGTGGCTCTGCTGTGGGGCTTCCTATTCGCTTGCCTCTCCTTTTGCCACATCTGGGTCGTGGTGCCTTGCATTAAAAGCTGTCTGATCGAGTCCCAGTGTCTGAGCCGTATCTACTCCCTGGCCATCCACACCTTCTGTGACCCCCTGTTCGAAGTCCTGGGGAAGATATTCTCAAGTGTTCGGGTGGTGCTACGGAAGGAGGTGTAGGATTCAGAAGCATGGGAATGGGACAGGGAGGTAGTGGTTAGGCTACTCTCCACCCATTTTTACCTTTATATTTTAGTAATTTAGCAGATGCTCTTATCTAGAGCGACTTACAGTTAGTGCATTCATCTTAAGATAGATAGGTGAGACAACCACATATCACAGTCATAGTAAATTTTTGTGGTGCCAGAACGGAGTGCTCTGCAGTATGCCACGTCAGTAGGCTACTTCCCTGGCCTCCTGTCTGGCTGCTGCCACTGGGTATGGGTCTGACCCATCTTCCAAACAGAGTTTGTGATAGATAGAGATGGTTGTGTTCAATCAGAAGACAAGAAGAAAAGTGCTCACATCTGGTTGCCATAGATGGGGGTCATCCATGGTCTATTCAACATGGTACACGACAAACAACACTCATCCATGCTTGATTGATTTGATACTTAAGCCTATTCCATGTTCTATTCCATGGTCATTTTTCAGGCGTTGATGCTACAATAAATTACTTATTTATTGTTCCAGTTAGATGTGATGTCTGTCTTTAGCGCTCGTTGTGATATAGAATCTGCCTACAGTACTGTATGTAACTGATGTGGAAAAAATTCAGTGAAAGAATTCCCGGTATGCTCAGGCAAGGGTGAGGCCAGACGGATCTACACAAACATGTCTCAGTGCCAGTGGTGAAGGTTATATCTGATGTACAGTATCTATGTGTGTGTGATATGGAAATGCAATATATAGGAATTCACAGCATATTTATCCAAGTCAGAGAAGAATCTGATGAACTAGAGATTACCTGTATATAGATGTCAAGTTTGGTCTCATTCATCCCAATTAAAGTATCAACAAAGGATGAGGAATATTCTGTTATATGATCTAAAGATACACCATTAAATCCTCTACGTTAAAGATAAACAAAGTGTGATCACTCCAAGGTACAATTCAGACAGGAGTAAAGGTTATAACCGACACCAGGGTCGTGTTCATTAGGCATCAAACAGGGAGTGACTACCTGAACTTGTCCAATAGGAAACACTAATTTTAGATTTACATTGCAAAATGCTTTAAAGCATGTTCTGTTGCGTGCCCTGGTGAATAAAATAAAATAAAATAAAATCACATTTTATTTGCCACATGCGCCGAATACAACAGGTGTAGACCTTACAGTGAAATGCTTACTTACAAGCCCTTAACCAACAATGTAGTTTTAAGAAAAATAAGTGTTAAGTAAAAGATAGATAAGTAAAAAATTAATATAACAAATAATTAAAGAGCAGCAGTAAAATAAAATAACAGTAGGGAGGCTATATACAGGGGTACAGGTACAGAGTCAATGTGCGGGGGCACAGGTTAGTCGAGGTAATTGAGGTAATATGTACATGTGGGTAGAGTTAAAGTGACTATGCATAGATAATAAACAGAGAGTAGCAGCAGCGTAAAAGAGGGGGTGGGGTGGGGTGGGGTGGGGGGGGACAATGCAAATAGTCTGGGTAGCCATGATTAGCTGTTCAGGAGTCTTATGGCTTGGGGGTAGAAGCTGTTAAGAAGCCTTTTGGACCTAGACTTGGCACTCCAGTACCGCTTGCCGTGTGGTAGCAGAAAAAACAGTCTATGGCTAGTGTGGCTGGAGTCTTTGACAATTTTTTGGACCTTCCTCTGACTCCGCCTGGTATAGAGGTCCTGGATGGCAGGAAGCTTGGCCCCAGTGATGTACTGGGCCGTACGCACTACCCTCTGTAGCGCCTTGCAGTCGGAGGCCAAGCAGTTGCCATACCAGGCAGTGATGCAACCAGTCAGGATGCTCTCAAAGGTGCAGCTGTAGAACTTTTTGAGGATCTGAGGACCCGTGCCAAATCTTTTCAGTCTCTTGAGGGGGAATAGGCTTTGTCGTGCCCTCTTCACGACTGTCTTGGTGTGTTTGGACGATAATTGTTTGTTGGTGATGTGGACACCAAGGAACTTGATGCTCGCAACCTGTTCCACTACAGCCCCTTCGATGAGAATGGGGGCGTGCTCAGTCCTCTTTTTTTTCCTGTAGTCCACAATCATCTCCTTTGTCTTGATCACATTGAGGGAGAGGTTGTTATCCTGGCACCACATGGCCAGGTCTCTGACCTCCTCCCTATAGGCTGTCTCATCGTTGTCGGTGATCAGGCCTACCACTGTTGTGTCGTCGGCAAACTTAATGATGGTGTTGGAGTCGTGCCAGGCCATGCAGTCATGGGTGAACAGGGAGTACAGGAGGAGACTGAGCACGCACTCCTGAGGGGCCCCTGTGTTGAGGAGCAGTGTGGCAGATGTGTTGTTACCTACCTTTACCACCTGGGGGCAGCCCGTCAGGAAGTCCAGGATCCAGTTGCAAAGGGAGGTGTTTAGTCCCAGGGTCCTTAGCTTAGTGATAAGCTTTGAGGGCACTATGGTGTTGAACGCTGAGCTGTAGTCAATGAATAGCAGCTTCAGAGACACACACTCAAATATATTTATAATTAACCCAATATAGTTCATCTGTGTCGTTTGCAGTGGGAGCAAATGAAGCATAGTGGGCAGAACAAGCAAGGAGGTGGCCAAAGCCAAACACTATCTAGCGAGATCCTATTGTAGCATATATTTGCACATTTCCGTTAGGGAACACCTAGTCTGTGAAGTGCGTGTGTGCACAAACTCAATTCGACATTGCACTCCTTCTAAACAATGCAATCTTTTAAAACTTCGGCAAAGCGTCAAGTGTATGAAACTTGCACTGTGTTCATAACAGATTCTAGGTTTGGGAACAGGAAGTGTTTAACCTAGTTCCATCCTTTCCCACTACCCGCGACTGGACTTCCTCCCACTTTCATATTTGGTGGTGAGAAAACGTTCTAAATGGATGCTTCTACGGATGCTTATAGCCTCTGTGACGTGTCTGGGTTACCCCTTCTGTCTGTAACCACACTTTTTTTGAAAGACCGACAAACCTTTCTAGCCACTAGGACGAACTACAGGGCAAGTTTTCCATCTTCTGCATGTTGTTCTCAGCTCCCTCGCAGGGAATGACTTGATCTGAATCATAGACATTGAGAGGACTTGAGTAATCCAAGACCTTCACAAATGTGACACCTTTTTCATTTATACTGACATCAATCTGACTGCTTAACTTATTTAGTATGGATGGACCAAGCTCCTCTATCTACGCATAACTGAACATTTTGCCGACACAAATGTTTTATTTTTTATCATACATTAGTGATACATTTAATATACTTACATTCAAAGAAACAGTTGATACAAAGGGAGAATCTTTACTTTCTGTATATATTGTGAACACTGTAAGGTATAAATCAGAAAGGTGAATGTGAATGAGAGGATACATATATACACAAATTAACATCTGTGTTGATCTAATCACCCACACAACGATAAAGAAGAAAGATACATTCAATAATGTTGGAGCACATTTAAAATCTAGTCCACATTTTCTTATTTTACAAAGCTACAGTATGTCTGTAGCTTTGGGTATATCAAAGACACTTTATTGTTATTTGTCTATCAAAGACACTTTATGGCACCCTATTCCTTATTATGTACACTACTTTTGACCAGAACCCTATAGGTCCTGGTCAAAAGTAGTGCACTACAGGGAATAGGGTGCCATTTGGGGGGGACAGCCTTAGACAAATAACAATAAATTGTCTTTAAAATCCCCTCCATGGTTTGAAGATATAGGCAATCTAATCTAACATCTCTTTGTGTAGAGATCAATAGCAATGCAATATCCCTGTAAGGTCACCAAGAGAATAGGTTTGTGGAACTTCATTCTATTTCTATTTCCCATTTTGTTATTGTGGTGACTGAAAGGTCAGCTTGTTGTGAACAAGCTCTGCTAAGTTTCTCTCTACCTAGACCTGAGAAATATGCAGAGTCACAGAGCTGTGTGTAGAAACAAATCGTATGTTAAGTGTTAGAATACAAAATAAGAATCCAATACAACCTTTTTGCTGGGGAAGAGGGAGGAGGGGAAAAGGTTGCGCCTGTATGTCTTTTTCCTGAATAAGACATACAGGTAAAGAATAAATCAATTGAGTTATGGTACACACTGACTGACAGCCTGATCGTCAGCTGTATATTCTGGAAAACTGAAATAAAACAGGAAATTAATATCTGTGCTACAAAGGTATACTATAATTTGACAGAACCTAAGGGCAAAATAAGTCTATTCCACATAAAATTTACATTTTAGGGGGATTTCTGTAAAGTGCTGGAGAGTGTGACTACAGTAGGAGCTTAATTAAGTGTGTGTGTGTGGGGGGGGTGTTGAATCTATTCTAGTGGGACATGAAGGATATAGTGAAATCACTAGTGGATGGTCGTGAAAGAGCGTGCCATGGACATAGAGACAGAAGTTCACCCCCAAAATGACCATGTTAAGATAACCCACTTCCAGGGCTTGAGTAGTCTGTGTGGAGTGGAGAGTAACATAATGGATTCCTCCTCTGGGTGTTACATGGTGACCTATGTGAGGGGTAGAGGGTACATATTGGCCATCCTTCTGTGGGGCCTTGCATGATGAAAGTGTCTCTTAGGATACTGGCCACCCCAGTCCTGTCCCTCACATGCTGAGTGTCTCTTTTAAGGTCTCTTTCAGAGTATCAGGCCACCCCAGTCCTGTCCCTTAAATGTTGAGGGTCTCTTTCAAGGTATCTGCCCAACCCAGTCCTTTCCCTTAAATGTTGAGGGTCTCTTTTAAGGTCTCTTTCAAGGTATCTGGCCACCCCAGTCCTGTCCCTCAAATGTTGAGGGTCTCTTTCAAGGTCTCTTTCAGGGTATCTGGCCACGCACTCCTGTTTTTCACACAATTAAGGTTTGTGTCAGGAGTAGAGAGTACGTGGCCAACCCCACTGCAGATCCTTGCACGAAGAAGGTCTCTTTTGGGCTTACAGGGTACCTGTCCCACCCAACTCTGTGGCCTTGGATGAAGGTCTTTCAGGGTTAGAGAGTACCTGTCCCACCTCAAACCTTACATGAAGAAGGTCTATTAGGTTTAGAGAATACCCAACTCAACCCCTCTCCATGGTCCTCATGTGCTGGAGGTCTGTGTGATGCTCATCTGGCTGGTATCTGGCCTA